TGCCAAGCGACGAAAACCCAACCCCGATGGCAAACACCGGGGGGGGGGAAGAGATATCGTATTGCTATCCATTGAGATATTATCCTTATACCCCTGACCAACGACGCATGTGCATACATCTAGAACACACCAGTGCTTAAGGTCTGCCGTATGATCATGCAGGTGATGGCGCAGATTTAGAGGTGGTAATAACTGGGGCGACAATGCTGTGGACATTGATGATCGTTCGGGTTTAACGCAACAAGGCTGTTAGATTTTCAAGACTGCTTTCGACGATGTTGTATCTACTGGCGCGCTTACATTCCGGTTTGCGTTTCGAGACCAGGTGACGCATTCGTTTCTTTTGTCGCTTGTTTCTTTCCTCGTGCACTAAATTAATGCAAGTGACCACTTTCTTTACCCGTGGGTGGCCGTTCTGGAAAAACTTGCCGTGTTTCGTCATGCTGTTCCTGACGGCCAGTGCTTCTACCATTCTTCCGACTGTGAACAACGATTTCCATTCTGTTTCTCGCTGCAATGTAGGTCGGCTGCTGTTTGGTCAAGCGTGGGGCACGTGGTCGGGCTGGGGGATCGGCATGGCGAGAACATTCTCATCCACACCGAGAGCGGTGAATGCGTCCACGTGGACTTCGACTGCCTCTTCGATAAGGTATTTCATGTTTTTTGGGCACTCCCTGTCTTGCAATCACTGCGACTACCCCTTTGACAACACCAGTAGGCGAAAAAAATAACGAAAAAGGATTGAACAAATGCAAGTACACGCGAAGAGAGAGCATCTGGTGCTGAGCAGATTGGTCAAGATAGCAGTGCTGACGGTTTTAGCTGGAACGCGTTTGTGGGTGTAAGTCTGGCCATCATGCGGCCCGGTCGCTCATGAAGAAATCCCTCACACGTGTGCATGCGCGAAACGCTTTCCGTATGAAACACATCACAGCAGTGAGAGACCCGAACGAGCGCGTGTACGTCTGGTTATCACCTCTTAACTGGTGTGTTCGGCGCGTCGCGCAAGTTGTAGCGAGCACCGCCATGTGTTGTGCCGCCTACAAACCAACTTGTCCACCCGAACCACACCCTTCTCCTTGCGCGACTCGGCGGTGCATACGAGAATTGTACCAACCACGTGTTGTTGAATCTTTCGAGAGGTTGACCCACCAGATCGCCCGAACGTTCCTTCCTGTAACGCGACTCGAAACACATGCTCTTCGTGTAGGGTTTGAGCTTGGCCAGACCCGAGATCGTCCCCTTCCGGCTAACGCCTTCCATGGTGGACGGCATGGGCCTATGCGGCTTCGAGGGCGTATACCGCCGGGTCATGGAGACATCTATGTCGGTGCTGAGGACCAACCGAGAAACTCTGCTGAGCGTGCTGGAACCCTTCTTGCAGGCAAGATAGGGGAGACGGGGTTGCGGGAGTAGTACGCCCGCTGGTAGCTGGTGTGGTAGTGGTTACCGTGCACATCCATAGACCTCACTCAGGAGTTGTTTGATTGGTTGATCGGTTGGTTGCTTCGCTGGTTGGTTGATTCCATGAGCGACGTAACAGCCCTGGTAGTCCTGCCCAGCGAGATACCGAGGTGGACTGAGAGCGTTGGTGGGAGTGGGGGAGTGCACGGATTACGATATGTGTAGTTACGCTGGGGCAGGGCACGCGATAAGGCCGTGAGTAAGGTTGTTTTGGGAGTGGCCACGGGGAGCGGTTAGTGGCGCAAAATTGCCAAGAATATATGGTAGCCGTTTTGTCAAGTAGCCTACAGTGTTTTCCCACTCGTGAGTGGATTTTCCCGTCTCCTCTCATGTTGTTTCGGAGCTGATACCAAAGCTGGCGATCTAAACATTAAAACGCCATTTCTGGCTGCGGCTCCGTATCAAAACCACACGCAGTGATGTTTTCTTGTTTTCTGCAGCCCAGCGTTGACTGTCCATGACCCCGAATTCTGCAGACCTCGCCATTGGCCAGCCACACAGCCATCTCTAACACTACCCGAAGCAGCAGCAGCAGCAGCAGCAGCAGCAGCAGCAGCATCTGATGTTCCATCCCGTCTTCCTATGTTCGCCACAACACTTCTCCACAACACTGCGCCACCCTCGAAGGACCCGACCGTGGGCTGGGGCAGGAGCGGTCGAGCCCAACGGTCGACGACCGGAGACTCGAGCGACGACGACATGAGCGGCGATGCCGACGGCGGGGGGGCCGGGGCGGACCTCGGGCGAGAGCGCGAAAACGAAGACGCGGACAGGTATTTGTAGGCACGACACAACCGACCATAGGTTTAGGTAGGTTGATGGCTGGTGTGTGTGGTGGCCGTGTGCGGCGCCACCCGCCACCATGTGGACAGCGTGACCTCTGGCGTGTTTTTTATCACTGGGTTTGAGTGTGTGTGATTGTGACTTGTGTCGTGAAGTGTTGGGGAGAAGTTTGGCCCACGGAGGAGGGGGCGAGGGAGGGGGGATATGCCAGTCGAGACGAGCGAATACTTGATTATTATTGCATTGTAGTTTATGAGGTGGGGAGTTTACCGCTTTTCAGAGATCACTAGATCTAGTAGAGATAACTACCAGCTCCGAGTGTTGGATAGTTATTTGGCACACTCGAGAACTGTTCGCCTTCCTTGGCAACGGGCCATTGGACGTAGGGAACCGAAGAATGGGATAGTGCTATGCAAGTCGCCGATTCTCAAGGCTTTCCTTTTCTTGACTTAAGTACTACCGCTCAAGATGAAGCCTCTCGGGAAGGATAACCTTTTTTTCGTTTACAGACGGTTGGGAACGAAACATTTCATACCACCGTCCATGTCAGGTGCCCCCCCCGCCCCGAACGCCCAAACGCAAACCCGATCGTCTCCCTTCTCTCCGTCAGAATCCTCCGCGTGATCAACGAGCGGCTGCAGGGGCGGTACAATCTGGCCGTGCCACGCCCGGCCGGCCTCGGAGCTACAGACGCTGGCAACGATCTCCCTCTTTCGGTGCAAGGACAGGTGTGAGGCGTATTGGATTGGCCACGCTTTGGGTGACATTCTAGTTCCATCGAGCCTTATCCACTGGACAAGCGGACCGCGATCTTTGATTTCTCTGTTAGTGCCTACCTGCCTAGCCTACAATCGCCTTGATGTCTTGCTCGCCCTCGATGTGCCCGTCTGCGTGACTCAGCCTTTCCCACCCGTCGTCTTATTATTGCATCTCGAATGGCTGTTGCTGTACGCTACGTAGGTGCAGCGGCTGATCACAGAGGCAACGTCCCAGGATAACCTCTGCCAAATGTACATCGGATGGATGCCTTGGATGTAGTTCACGTGTATATCGTCTGTGTTTACTGTACTTTATGATTCAATTTGTTGTGTTTTCGTTCGTTCTTCGTTTTTCTGTTGCCATGGAGCATGTAGATGTGCGTCGTCCAAAAAAGCAACTGCAGTAGAGAGGGCTGTGACTACTGTGTGGTTGGCTTGCGCAGGAAGCAGTTGCTGCGTTTGGTTGCATCACAAGACTCGAGAAAACTCAACGTCACCCGAGCAGCTTGAGTTTCCCCGAAGTATCAAGGCCACAATCAAACATGTGTCAAGTCGTCAGTTTTTCGTCAACGTTGGTTGGAATCCCCTTGTGCGTTCGTGTTCTCTCGCGTGTATGCATTGATGCTAAAGCAGTACCATAGTTGCGGTGTGTCACAACCCCGCGTCTTTTCTGCTTCTATTAACTCATAACTGAAGGGAAACGGGAAGAATTCGTCGCATCCTTGGTTGCACGTGGGTACCGTGGTTTTAGATGTTGTGAAATTCGCTTGTACGATCGAGTGAGATGCTTCGGTTTGTTGTCTATTGCTCTGCGGGATGTCCATGTTTTGTCTTGGATTGACCGTTGACTCTCGACGGCAAACGTGGTGTGGCGGGCGGGGTAGGGACTTGGACGAAATACGCATGCATGGAACGCCTCTTGATACTTCGCGAGGGTGCCAACCCCAAGGATACGGCGGTGTAGTAGGTGGATGGTCACGAGTCAGTTCGGGCTGGTCCGTTTGCTTGGGTTGTTTTAGGACTCGGCTCCTACGCAGCAGTTGCTAAAATGTGTTCTTGGTCGCATTGATCCGCGCATTTCGGAGCGACCGTGAAATGAGCGAGGTGATGCAGAACGGCAACTTGTCGCTTTGAGAGATGCATCCCTCGTGTGCCTCGAGTGACGGAGAAAAGCAACGGAACTAACAGTGGAGAATACAATACGAGTAAATCACGGCTGTTACCTGGGAACATTTGACCTCAGCTCTACTAGATGGATGGAATTCGTAGACAGCTTTCGGGACAACAGCAGTGCAAGAGGGCCCCGACGTACGTCGGGGATTTCGCGATTCGCCGCCGAAACATACTCGAGACGCAGCGATTACTGTAGTGCGTAGTCAGCAAGGTAGAGGCTGCAGCGTTTGTCCGTCTGGACATGCACATGCTTGCCGGACCACCTTATCTTATCAACATCGCAACCTAGTACTGATCTGCACCACCTACATGCAAATTTGCAACCGCCGGAAGCCCGACCCGTAAGTATTGGACCACCGCGGGTTGTGTGCGCTTGTCATGTGCTGCCATCCGACAAGGGCATGTCACAGTGCAATGGTGAAAGAATGTATGCATAGACAAATTAACTTACGCGTCAACAATCAACCTCCGCCAACCTCTGCACAGTCGGCCACCAAAAAAAAAAAGGCAACAAACGCAGAATTGCGATTCTAGCCAGCACTAGACGTTTCTTTCGCCCTTTCGGCTGTCTCACCTTACTGTCAAAAAGAGCGATTTCCTCGCCACCACGAGCTAATTTTTGAGAAAATGCTGTGCCACAAATCTGCGCACCAAATACAAGAGTGCCTCAAACCGGTAATGATTCCTGTTACATGTACATGATTATCCGAGTAAATTATAGTGACAACATGACGAGTTGCTTCTTTCGACCCCATGCTTGTGCAACGGCCCGCGTTGCGCATCTAACCGTGGCGCAAATACACAAAACTGTATGCAGCCATCAATTGTAAGCAACTATACACATGAAAAGCAAGCCAACGTGGTTTGTCCATTCATGAAAAATTAACAGACGTTGTTTGTCCGAAAAACACGCGACGAATATCCTGTACCCCTTGCATAGCCTACCCTCCTGGATACAAAGCCCAGTCGTGAACCTTATACATCCCCAGCTACAACCCTTGAATCCTACACACAAACCGTGTGAGCCCGTTGACAATCCTTGTCAAAAGAGTAGGATAACTGACGCAGTCATTCCCGGTTGTTTGCCCAGGGTAGTGTTACTTGGTCAAGTTCAGTCCCTCCTGACTCACGGATGGCGTGCATGTTATATTCCTCAACCCGCCTGCCCCCTGCTTCAAAGTAAAAGTGTAAGAGTGAAGAAAACCAAACTCGACGGACATTTTTTTTTTGTCTTCAAGGTTTTGCTACTACTGTTTTTTGCTACGCGAAACGTCGCCGGTCGGTCTAATTCTACACAAGTCGAAAGCACTGGAACGCAAACTCAGGGGGGGAACTCATGTTCCGTGTAAAGAAAAATACATGTTACTGCGGTAAGACGGATCCTCTCCGCCTTCTCCTCCAGGTGCACTGGGACACCGCGATTCAAACGACACACGTAGGTACATACGACGATACGGCGGCACAGGCACCCGAAAAAATAGTTCGTACGCGTACGACATGGCAAAACAACACGTGCGCAATCAACCAACACAGCACGCAACAAATATGTCTCACGCACAACAAATTACCATGAATGTTCGAAAACAGAAACCCGACTCGACTGAGTCAAAGGGAAACATCCAACAAAACGCAAAATGCATTTCTCCAAATCATTCGCGTCAAGTCAATTTTTGACCAACACGACCCACTCCGCTCACCATCCCACAAACAGCAAACAAGATTTAGCAAAACCAGGAACCCGAAATCGGACGGAAACGAAGAAAAAACACACAACACAGTTTTACCGGAAATGCACATATTACCACCATCTAATAATGACGACACATGGGCTGGCTTCAGCACAGCTCCAAAATATTTTCCATTGATATTTTCCATTGTTCAAGGATCGCTTAGCCATGCCTGCAAAACACTAGATGCCGTTGTACTTACCCCGTCCCGTGGAAACAGCGCCCTCAACCCCCACTCCCTCATCGACCCACCATTCACCTGGTTGATGGCGCGCGCGAAAGAATGGCACGAAGGGCATCATTGTGACACCCACGCAACAGGTGAAAAATGTTGACGGGGAGCATGAAAGGGAGAGAGCAGACAAGATGAAAATAATTGCTCTGGGAACAGATGTGACGGTGTGCGTACCTGCTGCAGGATGCTTACAGATAGGTACGTACCGTATGCCCGAGGCCGATTTGTCGGGCGTAATGTACCGAAATCACGGTTGGTAGTTCCGAGAGAATCCGCTTCTTTGAATACGCCTCGACACGAATTTCGCGACGCTGCCCTCTTCGACATCGACGCTGGTACGGAGGCATCCAGCACTGGAAATCGACCCAGGATATGTCGTTGGTATCTCATTCGGCTTACGGATACGCTGACATTGTTGTTTGTATTGTTGTTTCTGTGCAGTGACGAAATACAAGCACGTTGGACTCGGAGAGTAATTGTTTCGCATAAAGCGAGGGTTGACTCAGCTAAAAGGTACCCGACTTGTCGTGCACAGGTATGCGCGCACTTCTCCGTTCGATGGTTTGGCCGCTGATTAAACCGTACCACACAAAACGCTCGAGTCGAACGACTGAAAAATGGAGAGAATCGACACATGACTTGTTTGCGAGGCCCTCGCGGCGATAAGACGCCCCAAGACTGATCTGGTGCCGTTGTCACACGAAAGTACACATCTGTATTGCACCACCACTTTAAGACCACGGTGAAGAACGATTCGAAGCAAACAACTCCAATACCCACATCAGCGCTGAAACGAGCGGGGGCCAACGGGAAAAAACACTCAAAACAACACGTGGTGTTTGAAGTACATCATAAAAATTCCTCCGTGGCAACCCTGTCGGAGCATCCCACAAAAGTGTTTCGCGTGTGTGCTGTTTGTTGAGACCGACGCTTTCATGCCGGTCAGCCGTTTAGTGCAGTCGCAATGTCAACAGGATAAAAGAACATGGTGTACTCGCACACACACACACACACCTTCAGCTGCCGTGGGTCCGCTGAGGGAGTATCCGCCACCCACCGCCGCCGCTGTTGCCCCGTCACCACCTCATTGCCCCCCTGCCCCCTGCAGCATCGGTCGGATTGTCGAATCTCCGAATAGCCCCGGAAATAAAACGCGAGCAGTGAGAACACGCATGGTGATTCAACGCGCACAACTCGATCATGAAAAAAGCCTGCCCCCCCCCCCGCCCCCCTCCCCTTCACCCAGAATAAATGAGAGCCCAAAAATGCCAGCCCGCCCCCGCGGCCAACTTGTGGAGTAAGCTGAAACTGAACTTCGCATCAAACGTCATCCAGCATCCTCCTTTTCCTTCTGGACCCAACGGACGATTCACCCGGTGCACTTTCCTGGGCATTATCGGTGGACTCCCACGCAGGGCGCAGACCAACTTCAGGGGTATCTTCTTGACGGCGCTCTTGTTGTTCCTCGACTTGTTGGTAGGCCTCACCCTTGCGGTTGTCTTTGCTGGCGACCGCCCCATCCGCCACCCAGTCCCCGACAACCAAGCCCGCCGCAATGGGCTCCACGACGCGGGCGGGGTTCCCGGGGCGGTTAGATGATGAGTCCTCATTCGCGCTGCTACCATTGGTATTCCTCTCTGTAGAGGCGATGAGGTATCCCGCAGCCTCCTGCACACCGTCGCTCACGTTGTCGCCTCCGTTCCGACCATCGTCGCCGCCGACGGTGTTGCTACTGCTGATGGGGTCCCGCACCCGCTTCTTGCCCAGGACGTTGACCATGCCGGCCTCAGCGTGCGGCGCACAAAACATTGCCTTGGACCTCTTGGTGCCGGCAATGCCGTAGGAAGGGTGCTTCGAGCAGCCTGGGTAGCTGCACCGCTTGACGTTGCGGACATCGACCATCCCGTGCTCCGCGTGTTGCACACAGAAGTGCGCCGTCCTACTACCACTGAAGCCAAACGACGGCTGCTTTGCGCACCCGACACGCCCGCATTTTTTGGCACTAACGTTCAGCATCCCACCCTGAGCGTGGGGGGCACAGAAAAGGGCCGTCTTCGTCCCTACCACACCGTACGTTGGGTGCTTCGTGCAGCCCGGGTGGCAACACCTCTTATTGCGGATGTCGAACATTCCGTCCTGAGCATGTTGGACACAAAACTCGGGCGTTCTACTACCGGTGAAGCCGAACGACGGGTACTTGGGGCAGCCTGGATGTTTGCATCTCTTATCAGCAACGGCGGTGGCTACGGTTTTCTTCTCGGAATGCCGGGGGCAAAACTCCGCCATGCTCGTGCCGTCCGCGTCGTACATGAGGTGCGCGGTGCACCCCGGATGGCCACACCTCCTGTAGTTGCGGGTGCCCACCGCCCTCGATTTGGCATGATCGGCACACAGCTGCGTCGCACTGCCTCCGCCCGCACCAGATGGCGGCAGCTGCTTGGTGCAACCTGGGTGGGTGCACCTATTCACGAAATCGTCGGCCATCGCCCTGCCCTCAACGTGTTCGGGACAAAACTCCGCCATCTTGGTGCCATCTGCCCCGTACGTCAGGTGCTTGGTGCATCCCTCACGGGCGCACCTCTTGGTGTTGCGAACGTCGACCATCCCCTGCTCAGCGTGCTGGACACAGAACTGCGCCGTTTTGCTCCCGTTGACCCCGAACGACGGTTGCTTGGTGCAACCGTCGTGGCCGCACTTCTTGGCCGAGACGTTGACCATGTCCATCGTGGCATGCGGGGCGCAGTATTCCGCTCTCTTGCTACCTACCAAACCGTACGTCGGGTGCTTGGCGCACCCAGGGTGGGCGCACCTCTTGCCCCAGACATCGACCATGCCAGGCTTCGCGTGTTGAGCGCAGAACTCGGTAATCTTCGTCCCGCGCACTCCGTACGACGGGTGCTTGTTGCAACCGAAGTGGCCGCATCTCTTGCGAGACACGTTCACCATCCCGGGCTGCGCGTGCGGGGCACAGAACTCTGCCGTCTTGCTTCCCTCCACGCCGTAGGTAGGTCGCTTTCGGCACTGCGGGAAGCTGCATCTCTTTGTGCTGGGGAGTTTGCCCCCTGGCTGGTCACCGCCAAAATCGCCGCCTGCCGGTGATGGCAACGACAACGAGGATGCCGGCATGCGCAGACCAAAGCTGTCATGCCGCTTCACGTTCCGGACGTCCACCATTCCGTTCTCCGCGTGCTGGACGCAAAATTGCGCCTTCCGTGTGCCGGCCGCTCCGTAGGAGGGCTGCTTGTTGCAGCTAGGATGCCGGCATTTCTTGGCGCTCACGTTGACCTTGTTTTACAGAGAACATGCAAGACGCGGGAAAGAAAGGTGGTATGGCCGGTTTGGCCAAACAGGGAAGACATTGCATCTTGAGTGGTACGGCAGCGCCAGCGTGTGAGTGAGAGATGGCGACTGTGTAACGAGCATGAGCATGATCAGAGAGCACCTGCTCCGAGCATTAACTCGTCGCCAAAGCAATATAACAACTGAACGAACGAAGAACAAAGGACGTACAGAATCAGAGCGGTGAAGTGTTTGCTGCAGTACGAAGGGTACGAGCGACGCACGCCCAAAGGCTGGAAAATTCGTTTCAGCTTGCAAGCAGCACGCGAAAACACCCCGCTCGCGTGTCGGTTGACGAGATTCGTTGTTGGCTTGCTCTGTCGCCGTAGAGGAGGAACCCCCTTCCTTACCCAAGGTGTATGCTGCGGGTGTAACAGAGAGAACCAAACCAAGTTCACCTACATATGAGCACGATTCAACCACCAGAATTTCTCATCGACGGTGCACTCGAACAGTCCATGGACAAATGGTTAGGAATTACTGTACTTCTCCCTATACCTTTTAGGGGACGCGGACAAGCCATTTTGACTTTGTCTGCTTTTGAAAATACCAACAGAGCATCCAGCCAATACGCACGAGGTGCAACGACCATACTTGGAGGCGTTCGGTACAATGAAAAACGTGGATTGTCGCACAAGAGCCGAGGTTGGGGCCTATCTCCACCAGCATATATCACGCAGCCTACCACACCTCTCAAACCAACACAATACGTCACAACTACAACGTCAAGACGAAACAGCCGTTACGGCGGGTGCTCACAAAGGTGTGAGCGTTTTAGGAGTCCAACCCTGCAATGTAGAGAATATCATGGTGCAGACGAAATGCTGTGCTGCAGAGTGCTGCGGCTGCGGTCCATATTCGTGAATCTGAATGAATCTGAATCTAACGCATTCATGTTCCACCCTGCTCGCCGTCACGACACTCAATCTCTTCATGTGCAAATCTGTAGCAGTATCTTGGACGACCCGCACTTCAAGGGTATGCTTTTTGTTGCTGCCATTACAAAAGTTCTGATCCTGCCCAATTATGTTCATCGGCCGAGGTTCTTTTTCTTGCGATATTCGCTAGATTTAAGACGGTTGAGCGTTGATTTGCCGGGATTTTCACTTGAACAGTTTTCGACCTTTTGAACCAACCGGTGGACACACAAGCCGGGGTCATTGGCTTTCTGTGGCATCCATCAGATCTCGCGTTACGCCCGGCTGGATGGAGATGTTGGCGAATATGAAACGTGGCCCGGAGCCCTCTTCGCAGTATTTTGCCAAAAGGAGCAACACCCGCTGCCCCGCAATTTCATAAATGAAAACATACATGTAGAAACATTGGTGGCATGTGGTAGGGAAAATATAAAAAAGCGATACAGAGAGAGCAGAGACACGTAAAGGGCCTGGCAAGTATTGATGGCAGGCCCTGCTACCATAACACTGAGCGATCCTCGTCTCGCACCTGTAGTGGGCACTCTTGAACTAGTACCTGCAGTTCCTGCTCTACGGGTTGAGATATCTCCCAGCTACCACGTGCCAAATGAGCAGCGCAGTGCGTCCCTATATTGTAGGGTGGTGGTTCGCAAGGCGTTCTAATGTTTGGCAAAACTGTCCCCGGGCAGCAACAACAAAAAAAGCAGGAAAACGACACATCGCGAGAATAGACCGCTGTACCGAGCAGCAAAGGACCGCACCACGACCACTCCAACTTTTTGCTATTATTCTTGAACCGGGAGCGACAAGCTCTCTGCGCGGAGACTGATTCTTCACACTCTGCATCACATGTCTGCGGTCAATACTCTTAGCATCACCTGGCTTACATCGGTTTTCGATGCGCGCTCTAAAAGACCCCAAAAGATCGGAAACATGTACTCGTTTCTTAGGGGGTTTGGCTCAGTCGCTCTAACTTCTCCTTGGTACTCGAATCTGGACCTGTTCATCGTTAGCATTCTGTTCTCGTAATCAACGCAAAACCATGCATCTGATTGAAGGCGTTGTCGGTGAAGAGCGGCTACTCCGTTTTGCCTCTCGTGGGTAAGGGTTGTCGGGGTGATCACCAAAAACATGGATGGTAGAAGCAATAAAGCGAGGCGTCAGCCTTGGAGCGCACCGCAAGAAGGCTTTCGAGGACAAGGACTACTCGACCTTTGAAGCTAGAGCGCGAAGCCCGCGTTCAGAAGCTGAAAACAGGCGCAGCGGTATCAGCACTCGTTGCACGCAACACATGACACAAACAACGAAATTGAACGAAATAAATCACACATATTCGAGCTCTCTAACCGTCCACAAGCTGCCACAGACGATCCTGAGCACACGCGCCTATAGCCCTGCTCACACTCGTTCGCGGAAGCTCTCAACTATTTCCTTTCTCGCTGAATTGGTCTCAATACAGCAAGTTATTGAGAGTGTTTTCGTGTAACCAGCAGGTTTCGGGTTTGAAGAGCAAAATCTTGGCCCCCTAGCTCCAACTTCAAACTGCTACTAAACCGTCTTACGCATGTTTCGAGAAAAAAACATCGAGCGTGTACCACCGTGTGAGTAGGGCTACAGGCACCGTATGCTCGAGATCGCCTCCGGCGGCTTGTGAGCGGCGGCAGAAGGCATAAGAAACAACACAGCCGAGGACTGCCTGCTACCATGTCGCTATGAACGCATACGTGTGCATCGCTGCTGCTCCAGCTGATGGACTACACACGAGTGCTCCCGACCCACCAGCGCGTAGTGTATACCATGATCCTTTGCCGGTGGTCCCGTGGCCGTGTGTGTTGTGTGCAGTGCTCTTCGTGCGCTTGGTGTACATGACCTACGTGCGGAGCTGTGTTCTGCAGAGGACAGCCGACGTACACACCATTGCTTGGAGCGTTGTTTGGATCTTTGGACTGGAAAAAGATTCAAGGTACGAACTGATGCCGATCCCACACATCCCCGTTGGGACTACCAACGAAGGAATGTCCATGTATCCACATATGGGGATATCCGATATGCATCTGTTTCAAACAACGATCCGCGAGCGTTGAGGAGAAATTTCTCTCGGGCGTTGAGAGCGCTTCATTTCGGGCCTCTCGGGCTCTCAAAGGGCTTCATTCTCTCATCTTTTGTTTATTCCCGCTCGTTTTTCCCCTCCTCTTTTTTGTCGCTTTTCCATCTCTGGCTCCTCGCTCGCTCGAGGAACGTTTCCACCCTCCTCTCCTCTGCTCACGACAGCCACTTACACGCCTCTCACAGGGTTTCTTCTTTCTCTATCGGCGCCCACACGCCAGTCTGCTTTCATACGTCGGGCTCTCCATGTGCATGTACGTTCGACACGCATAAATACAGTGCACACGTTCAACTTGTAGCGCTTCCATGTTTTCCCGTTTGTTCCGGGTTGGTGCCCCAACAAATTCCCCGGGTTATGCATTATGTATCCACACAAACATTCGAGAACCTTTCGCCCCTCCCTCTCCTCTGCTCCCCATCCACGACACGTCTAATGCCTATCTCTCTTATCTCAGCTCACACAAACCATGGGCGTATGGCGGGCTCTCATATACATGTCCAGTCCAACATCTTCCCGTTTTCGGATCAAAAACTTACCGCGGGGGACCGGTGCTTTAAGTTTCGAAAGTTGTACCTCCTATTGCACATTCGTAATTCAGGGCAACTATTCCAGCTCAGCACTTATACTTCTTCGCAGCGAGTAGACGCCGGGGGCACTTCTGGCGCTGCGGCCAGCGCGTTCCTCTCATACATAGAAGGCTTCCATGAATCTGCTGCTGTACCACTTCTTCCACCCCTTTACGATACTGCTGTTGTTCGGGTATGTGTGCGCATGTATCTGCGTTTTCCGCATGGCACAGTTAGCTTCCTCCGGCTATTTTTTCACATGTATTTCGTGTCCGGGCCTCCCGCTCTCTCACACATCTCGACCGGCCCGCTGCATCAAAATGTTGACCCCTCTTTACAAGTACATGTCTTCTAGGAACACATCAAGCATAACAAAAAAGCGGCAGCCGTTCATGTGTGTGCATTCATTTGTCACGAATGAGCATGTGCATAGAGGCAGCCCTCTCTGTGTGTCCAAGAGTATCCAAACCTTCAACTTTATAACACCCTATTCTCTTTGTCAACCCTGTATGATCTGTTTGCCATCAATGATGTTGCTGCTGCGCGAGCACTCTATGTTCGCCCTTGTTCATGACGCAGCGCGTTCATTTTATTGCAGTTCTCATTTTCTGTCGGATGACACGAATCGAGTGCGCCCTTCTCTATTTCTGCACCGAGCAATATTTTGAAGAATTTCATTAACTTTCATTACATTGCAACTGCCTCGCACGATGAACGTTGAGTACATCAAAACCACTTTTCGCGTATCTTGGAATCGACCTGTTGAGCGGCGCGGCGGAAGCCGCCAGACACCTTGAATGTATACAAGGCTCCCTTCGGGAGTTAGGTGGCTGGCCTCCCGGGGGCGACGCAAGAAGACATGGCCAACGTCATCGCGACCGCACCGTTGCATCTCACCGTCATGAAGTTCTGTCGTGAGTGCCGGTTTTGCGTGCAACCTGCAGAATTTGCCTGGAATTTGCGTCATGTGAGGGGCATTTTTTGTTTCTCACTCTACTTTTCGCGTGTGCGTGAGTGTATGCTTTTAGGCAAAAGGGTCTTTGCCGCAGGTGATTCCGCTGTAATCCGCTGCCTTCGATCACTCGCTCTTACGCAGTTTTCGTGCCTATGGGACTTGGGGTGCGTTGCATGGGACTTGAGTGCGTTGCACAGGAATCACAAGTCTTCACGTTCATGCAAAGCAGTTTTTTTGTATCTTTCTTGCCAAGGCTTTCGTCGCGCGGAACACGTCCCGGGGGGCATAGAGCCACTTTTTCCAACTTTGGGTGCCTGTCGGTCCTCGGGCGTGGGCGGTGATGTACCGACGAGCCTCTTGCGTGCCCCTGACAAGGAATCGCGTGCAACGGCTCACTGCCGCGAGCGAAAGATAGCGGATTCACATGATGGATGCACTGCCCAAAACTGGGCTAGGACCAAATGGAGAGAGGGGGGGGCTGTTTTATACCGTATGGTACTTTCAAGTACGATTTATATATATCGTTCAACGTACACACCTCTTAG